AGAAAATTAAATAAATAAATAAATAATAAAAATATATTTAATAGTTAGATTATTCTTACTATATTTTCTTTATTTTAGAATGATGAATATTTTACGAACTTTCATGTAAACGAATGGAATTATAATGGATTTTTCAATTTTTTGTCAGCCGAAAAACGTAGTGTATTTGGATAAAGTCCTTGCAAACGATTAGTAAAAGTAATAATTATGCTGTTAGGTGCCGTAAAAAGCGAAAAGACTATTTTTCTGTGAGTGTTGTTATTCCTTCAATACAAAGCATCACTATCTTCAATTTATGGAAAGTTTTCGAATACTATTCACAAGTTTATGATAATAGTAAATCAATTTATAGAGAAAAAGCCAGAAATCGTTTAATGTAACTGTTATTATTATGGTATTGGTACTGATAAAGATGAAAGTAAAGTTTGTCAACTTTATATCTCAAATTGTTAGGGTCTGGGTTTAATATTTATAGTATTATTCTAACAGTTAACGATAACAATAGCAGATATGCAATTAAAACTTAAAAAATTAAAATATAGTACGAACGTAATTTAATGCAATTTTAAGAAATACATAGCAAAATTTTCGAATATGTCAATGCTACACTAATAACTAGCAAAACACACGTATTTACATGATATTTGATTAGTTTAGGTTTTTACTGCCACAATTAATAACCACAGTCGAATATGAGTAACTAGATAATACAGATAATCTCAATTGTATTATTTAAAAAATTCACTAAGCAATACAAGGTTTGATTTAATTAGCCGACCAAACACCCCACCATTGATGTTATACGACTGATTTTTCGTACAACATAAAAAAATTGACTTTGTATAAATTGTTTTTTATTTATGAATAAATTTGCTTCAATGAATTCAGCGGATTTCAACGGATTTAATCGGATGTTGGGCAAAAAATAGTCAGATATCCACAGATCCAAACACTAGTATAAATTACAATTCTGAACATAATGATATCTATTTTAGTGCTGGCAAAACTTTTGTAATGTCAGTACAATTATCATGTGACAATGCACTATTTAATGTAAGTTAAATAACAGTTTCGTAAATTACAAGAATTTATGCGCACTCATGAAACCCATCTCTAATTTATTTGGCTGAAATTAGACACACTAATTTATTAGGTGTTAGCCATGGGAAACAAAATGTAATATTTTTCATTATTCACCATCCATATATAGTAAATTTAGGTTTAATCATTATTATAAGATAACTATCGCATAAGTTAAATATAACCACATAGAAAAAAAATTTGCTGCTCGAATCCCACAAGCAATTTTACTTTTTTCTGATTTAAAGTCATACTGACAATCAAATAGGATCGGATCAATTTCATGTATAGTAAGATGGTGTAAATAACTAGGTTAAAAAAGTTACAATTAGATGTTAATTCTTACCTGAAATAATTTTGAAGATATGATTACTTACATTTCTGACCTTTCTATTTCATATTTGTTTTCTGTGTTGATGTAAGGAGATTTCTTGAAATAAGTGGAGCGGACCTTAAAATTCTAAAAAATGGATACCTCTACTTCAATACAGAACTCTTTATTATATAATATCACATGATTAAACGGACCCACGGGTCTGTAAGATCTTCATTGAATTAATGTAGTTAACAAAAACAATGTTAGTTAAATTAATTGATAAATGCCAAAAACAAAATCTAAAAGAAATTAATGAAGCAACTTGGTTGCAGATGTTATATCCTCAGATAGATGCTGCAGTTGCAGACTTTGCTCAACTAATCCCACAGAAGTAATCAATCTACTTCTTAAGTGTCAAATTTGGTCTTTCTTATAATATTATATTAATTTGTGTCTAGCACCTCTAATTCACTCTCACAACTTATCGGGTCAGACGAATCACGAAAACCGGATTATACTGTTTTATGTATCACAAAAGATAATCCTTCTCTTGAATTCGTAGCATTGTTCTTAGAAGGTGCAAAGCCAGTAAAGAAAGATGAATTAGGAGACAGAAAAAGTCAATTGGATAAAGAACGTCTTCAGTCGATAATCAAACTATATTTTGATTACATTTTGGCTCGCATTCAATCTAATTATGGGGAATTTTTAACAAGAGAACTTTCAAAGGAAATATTAGCTATTCCTCTTATTACAATGCAGGCAACTGGTATAGTATTTAATTAAAAATTATAATAGTACTAATAAGATTTCTTATTACCTATTGGTTATTGTGATTCGTAGGAACTGAACTAATCATAAGCATAAGCGATCAGCAAGCACTTCCTCTAATAAGGAGTTCCATTTTAGCAAGGGTAACTATTCCTTATTATAAGGGTGTAAATGCGGAAGAAAGGTTTATCCAAAAAACTTGAGCCAAAAATCTTGTCTTTTCAATATGGAGAGTGAAAAAGATTCTTAAGATGATTAGCGATCATTGGTCTAGAGTCATCAAAAAAATTCTTGAGTCAAAAGAAGCATAACCTGAACATAAGATCAACTTAATAAATAAAAAGGCTAGATATATGAGTTTTGAATTTGGAAAGCACGCGCCTGTTAAATAAATCTTTATCATTAGGTTTGAAATTTGACTCGACCTAATATTGTAAATAAATTTAATATTCAAATTCGATTGTTTATTGTCATGGGATAACTAGATTTCCTGAGAATGGAAATTATATTATATCTAATAATACTATTTCAATTTCACCAATCTCCAATCAAAAAAAAATAAATAAATCACATCCACTTGCATATTCATCAAGTAGAATATTAAGTAGAGTTATTCCGAAGTCAATTGAATTTCAAAATATGTGACTTCACTATATAATCTTACATTATCTGAAGAAATGTCTGAAGTTCAAAATAAAATAGCTTTATTTGAACATAGATGCAGTATTTATAATGATTTTTATTTTTATTTGTTATTTAAATATGACAAATCTTAAAAATTTAAATAATATAACGACAATAATTAGCTTATTTAAATAATAAACAATTAAAAAAATCCTTACTTTTAAATTCAATAATAGTTCGAAAGATGCAAACAGAAAAAAATTAGATAGAGTTCTTCGCAACCCTAATACACCTCCAGATCAATTAAAAAAAGCATTTGAAAACATTTTAGTGTTACAAGAGATTTTAGAATTCAAAATTTTCTATTTTTATTTTAATTCGTTCATGTGCATTTTATTTATCGTTATGTGTATTTTAATTTTGTTTAAAATATTATAATAAATTTGTTTAAAATAATAATTTAAAGTATAATTTTGATAGAATAGCCAGAATAAAAATTTTATAAATTTATTTTCCACCAATTTAGCTTCGATCATGAACAAATAAATGATTAATGGAAGGTATAATTTTGGTAGAATTGATTCATAAATCTGGTAAACATAATTTTGGTAAATATCAGATATAATTAAATCATAAACTAACGTAGGTGGAATTAATCAGTAATTCTGGTAACCGTAAATTTGGTAGAATTTAATTAACTGTTAACGTTTAACTCATAAATATGATTTTGGTAGAGTTAACTCAAAGCTCTGGTAAACATAATGTTGGTAGAATTAGCTCGTAACATTAACTCGTAAATATAATTTTGGTAGAGAAAACAAAAAATTCTGGTAAA